CTGGAATAATAAACAGATAAGTATAGCAAAAGAGCTTTTAAAAACGGGGAAGGAGGGGTGAAAGACTGACTACCAAATTTTAAAATAAACTATGAAGCTAAAATATTTGAAACAGTGAAGATCAAAACTCTGGAACAATAGAAAGCCCAGGACAAATACATACATACGTAGGCATCTTAAATTCATAGGTAAAAGTTGATGGGTGTTAGCACAAGTTACCATCTGGGAAGAAAATCAAATCCCTACTATACCCCTATATCAAAACAAATTCCAGTTGGCTTCCAATGCAAAAACAAAACCAGACAACTTTAAAGAGAAAATATATATTATCATTAAGAAACACTTGGGCTTTCTGAGGAGGAGATAAAATTAACCACCTAAAACTTGAAAAGGCCTATAACAACTCCTTTCCTTTACCCAAACAAACAAAACCTAACATAGTTAAAAGGTACAGGTACAAATTAGAGAATATGTATGGCCCATATGACAGTCAAAAGGCTAATTTTCTTAGTAGATAAAGAGAAACTAAACTACAAAATGACAAAGATAAGCATCTCAACAGGAAAAAAAGAACAAAGAACAAAGGTCACAAAGGTTATACCGGTCATTCACCAAACAAGAAACACAAATAGCCAATGATATGTAATTAAAATGGAACTTGATTTTCAAATTAACAGTGATTTAGTGTGGTGAAGATGGGAGTCAATTAGCTTCCGTTTACATTGTTGGTGGGAGTAAAAAGTGATACAAATTTTCTAGAGGACAATTTGGACAAATTTCTTTTAAAAAAACTTAAAATGTTAGCCCTTCTATTCAACCAGAAATTGTATATTTTAGGCAGTTACATAAATAAAAATTCACGCATCTAGCTACAAGGATCACCAATGCAATAATAATAATAATAATAATAATAAAAGGTGAACAGTCAAAAGGTTCATAGAGTAAATCATGACAAGTTCATGTGATGTGGTATTTAAAAAACATTCACTATAAATTGGTAAATGAAAATAGGCAAGTTACTTAAATGTAGGAAACAGGTGTGTATATTTAAGTGTATATATGTATATATATGTAAAATTAGATGGAGAGTCAAATATTAGCAATTTAAAAAAAATTTTCCTGATTAGAAAATACAGTTTATTTAAAAGTAAATTAGAGAGGAGAGAAAGAGCTGATTCGCCTCCCCAAGGTAGGGAAGGAGGCCAGAGCTTAAGAAAACATGGCCTGGCCACAGCTCACAGGGCACATGGCCACACCATAGCTCAACAAGGCAATGGCCAGCAATTGTTATTAATAGGCAGTAAGAATATAAATGATTCTAAATTTGCTTCCTTCTGTGAATCTGCATTTTAAAGTATTTTTTACAGTGAATACGTAAGAAAAAAAGTTTAAAAACAGATGCTCTTTGTTTAAAATGCAAAAATCTTCTCTTCAAATGAAATCTTATGTGAAAACCCATCCAGGCGCGGTGGCTCACACCTGTAATCCCAGCACTTTGGGAGGCGGAGGTGAGAGGCTTGCCTGAGCTCAGTGGTTCCAGACCAACCCCAGGGCACCTTGGCGAGACCTTGTCTCTACAATCAATAAAAAAGTTAGCAGAGTGTGATGGTGCGCGCTGGTGGTTCCAGCTACTTGGAAGGCTGAGGCGGACGAACTGCCTGAGCCCAGCAGGTCGAGACTGTGGTGGCTGTGAGCGTGCGACCGCACTGGAACCTGGGCAACAGAGTGAGACCCTGACTCAAAAATAAATAAATAAATAAAAGGATGGCTGGCTTAGAGCACTGCTCACTTGGTGGATATCTTTAAGGGTCCACTTTGAAAGGACTCAGGGAATTCTGCTGAGAAATCATTTTGTGTTAACAGCATCTCTAGAACCTTCACTAAGTGTTGTTAGTGAAACCACACAAGGCCCTAGGATTACTGATTACCTCGATAGTTACTCACAAACCATTGGGTAGTTCATTCTATTGTAGTTCACTATATTCATTGTTGTATATTCAGGAAGTATTTTTAAACAGTTTTCTAGGTTTTAGCTTTGCATCATATTAGTTTACCTGTGGATTAGAACTAAAAGAATGTTTTTATTACATTGAGATGACCTTAGAGAATTATAATCTGCTACCATGTCCTCAGATCTTGATGAAGGTTGATATGACAAATGACCACAAGAAGAATGGATTTACATCTTCCCTAAATTTATGATTAAATACATTGCCCATTCTGGTGTTCAAAGACCCTTATATAAGGATGCATGTGATAAATTCCCCTAAAATTTTGGGGAATTTTCCCATTTTGGAAAAATAAGTATGACTTCCTTTTACAGTGCTATATTATTTCTGTGTAACTCATCATGTTTGCCTTTTGACTTTGACCACCAGAAAGCACAGAGCTATATTTATTGCCAAACCACAGCAATGAACAGCTGCCTAATTTCACAGAAAAAACTCTATCCCTGAGCACTTGAGTGTTTACCCTCAACTAAATGGTCCCATGATATGCATGGCTTATGTTATGAGTTGTCTCAAATCCAGTTTGGAAATAGGCATGGATTAAATAATAAACAAACAAACACATACGTAATTTGGACTGAGCAGGCTTGGTCTTTGGCAATAGAAAATGTTCAACACCTAGAGTCTGGTTTGTATCAAATGCTTATTAGGCATATTGCTTGAATTTGGAGTACTGCTCTGGAGTGAGTCTGCCCTTGGGTACAGTCATGAACATGTGGGTCTTTCTGCTACTGAAGTCTACATCTATCCCATGATGCTGGCTCCTTAGAAGGTGGTCTGTGTGGCATCCTAATAAGGATACCAGGTTGAAAAGGGTGGTAGAAGAGTACAGTGCAGATAAACTAGCAATTTATAAGCTTCTCGTAGACTGTAAACTTTAAAATAGTTAGTAGAACAAGATCTTGTTGAAATGGACCAGGAAATAGACAATTTTCACACACAGTAATGAACAGTTCTTAGGCAATGGTGTGTGTGTGTGTGTGTGTGTGTGTGTGTGTGTGTTTGTATGTGTTTATCATAGTGTTCAACACTAGATTTAAAAATATTATATGAGTTAAGATACATTTTGGCCAGGCGTGGTAGTTCACGCCTGTAATCTCAGCACTTTGGGAGGCTGAGGTGAGAGGATTGCCTGAGCCCACGGGTTCGAGAACAGCCTGGGCAACTTGGCGAGACCTCATCTCTACAATAAATCAAAAAATTAGCCGAGCGTAGTAGTGCGCATCTGTAGTTCTGGCTACTTGGAAGGCGGAGGAGGAAGGATTGCTTGCGCCCAGCAGGTCGACGCTGGGGTGGCCATGAGTGTGCCACTGCACTCCAACCTGGGCGACAGAGTGAGACTCCAACTCAAAAAAATATATATACATCTTTATCTTACTGGAAGGTCAAATATTTATTCTCATGGTTAACATTACTTAGATCAGCTTACAGGCTAAGTGCTGAATAGGACATGGAACGTGGAAGAAAGGGAACCAAGTTGGTTTTTTTTTTTTAATGATTGTGATGTAAATAATTGACCTATTTTATTTCATTTAAGGGACTTTTTTTCAGAAATGCATAAGTTCTTCAGCAACCTCCTTAATAAAATGGCAATGCACTAACATAACAGACTTTGTGCTGGAAATATTTGGATACAAAGGCTCAGTAGGGTAGAATCTGGTAATGTAGTCTTGATTATAGTGTCACAAGAACTGGCAAGGTGGTTTTCTGTATCAGCAACAGACACCCTTGAAGCTGTGAGACCAGCTTGTCCTGTGAGGCTCTGCAGTAAGTTGGGCCAACTGGTTAGAGCAATAAGTTATCATTACTAAGAAGATTTACCATGGCATTCACAGGAGAGCCAAGACCTGCCAAGGCCAAGTGGGCTCCTAGAGGTCTGCTTGACATTCCACAGATGGAACATCTAAGGTCAAAATGCTTGGTGCCCCAGAGTCCATGCCGTGGAATGGAATTTCCTAGTTTTAAATCCCAGCTCGATCACTGACTGTTGGCTGAGTAAACTGAGAATAGTCTCTTACTTTGAATCTTTCTGCAAGTTAATACCATCATTCATGAAAGGTAGCTAGCCAGTACCTGGCTCATGATACATCGTCAGTATATGTCAACTTTTATTATTATTTATTATTAGACATAAAGCATCACCTATTAAACTGCAAATACCCGAGAAGGCATACCTTGTTCTCAGTTAACACTTCAGGGGTGATTCTCACCACCTGAATGTCAGTTAAGATGTCGTGAGCAGGAAACATTCCAGGATGGAAAGGAATGGGGAGAAGCGCTTTAACATTTTGCTCAGAGCCACAGAAATTCTTCTACATGGAAAAGCACCCAATCGTTGCAACAACCCAAGCGCAAACCCTCGCTGTTGCAGAAAGGCAATCTAATTGCTGGATCCAGATCCCAGGACCCGCAGCCCTTGGGGCCTTGGGGACTAGCTCTCAATCAACTGTTCCACCTCAGAGGATTCTCTATAGACTTTGTGTGGTAAGAGACGTGAAACGATAGAGCCACCCCATTTCCCATTTGTTTTCCGACCTCCTCAGGAGCACATGCAAACACCTCAAACACTGATGTGTGTGGAGACCTGCACACCCTGGAGAGGCTGCCGACATTGGAACCCACTGTTTACAGCCACTGGAAACTACTTCCTCTCCCTACAAAGCAGTTGTGTCTACCCTTTCACGCTGAGTGGAGACTTCCATTTGTAAAGTCATCCATCACCACTATAAATCAGTCTTTTCAACACGCCTCCTGTCCAGCTAGGAGAGAAGAGGAAAGCATCTTGGAGACGTTCCATTAAGCTATTTTGTACAAAATGGATGAATTATTATTTTTTTACCCCGGGAGAGACTGGTTCTGACACAAACTATTCACATTCATTATTTAAGAGAGACTTCATGTCCCCTTCTGCAGGGTCAGGGAGGGGCACACAGGCGGAGACACATTCGTATTCACACACATCTAGTTGGCTGTGCAGCATGAAGCACTGACCTGTTAGGCCGGCGGCCTCAGCGGACAGGAAGGCACTCCAAGAAAGGAGAAAAAACAGGCCTGTTTCCAGCATCGGGAACTCACATAGCTTGGTAAATTTGGTCAAGTGAGGAAGACATGTTAAGGGAAACAACAACTGCTTTTACAGTTAAATCTTCTTGGCTGAGAAAAAAATTGATGTGGCAATGATAGTTCTGGAGTAAAAGGACTGATTTTCGGAACTGTCTAGAAGGCTGTAACTCTCACTGGAATCTACTTGGAAGGCTGGCATGGATCACACTTCACTGGGGGCTGAACAAGCCCATAAAAGTTTAAACCTGTGTTCAGATCTTTTTAAAACAGGTGTCTTACTAAGAGTATAAAATCAGTTAACTGAGGGTATAAAATCTCTTGACTTTGGCCTCAGCCCTTGGGGTGCGCCCCTCAGGAAAGCAGTAGAAGGTATGAGAAAGCAAAGCCAAGGAGAGTGGGGGAGAGGTGTGAGGCGCTGTTTCTTGGGGAGTGTAGCTTGTGGACAGACCTTCTGGAAGAGTCTTCTCTCCTGGGGATGGAAATAGGATCAGATGAAGCAGTTACATTCCGTGATAGGAACGCTGCCCATGCCCTCTTGGCATAAGGAGGATGGAGGAGAAGGTATATTATTTCTAGGTCAGACAAGATGCCCTTTGGCAGGCAATGGCTCATTTTGACAAGGAGAACGCTCGGTCAATAGTCTATAAATTGCAAATAGAACAAAGGGATAGTGATCCAAGGGTCAGAGAATAGATTATGGGGAGATGATTAGGAGATGATGAGGAGGAGATGATCGATGGAGAAGGCTCGCATTGCAATTGTGTCCACATTAGGCACAAAATGCTTTGGCAAACAAGGAGATATGATCATGTTGCACTTTTATGCTTCCAGAGCAAAATCTAAACCAGATTCCACAGTAAGAGATGTTTAGCAGGAGGGCGAGGAAGCCGATTCATGTCCTCTGGGGTGGAAAATCTTGTGCTGTTTCTTGTCTCTGCCAGTCACTGGTTATGCAATTTCTGAGTAGTATATTAACCTCTCTGAGCCTCATTTCTATTCTATGTGAAACCTGCTTCCACATTTGGAAAATAAAATGAAATGAAGTATGTTAAAAATATTTGGTAAAGTTTTTAGAAAGACAGAATAACACCATGGCTGGGAGCATGGCCTCTGGAAGCCAAACCTGGGTTCAAATTCATAGTATTCACTTAGACATATCTCTTGACCACTCTGTGCCTTGATATTCCTGTCTGAAAATGGAAATAATAATGCAGTCTACCTCAATGGTGTAAAACTACTTAACATATGTTAGGTGCTCAGAATAGTGCCTGGCATATAACAAATGATGTATAACTTTTCTATTACTGTAGTTTAAATTAACATTTTTTTGTAAAACATCTTTCCTAGAAATAGTAAGGCTCTAGAATCAATTCATCATCTGGATTAAAAAACAGGCTGTCCTTAGGCCCTTTCTCAATATACCCTTTTGTTCCTTGGAGGAAAGGCTTTGTTTCTAGTGAGGTTTGTTCTGATTTCCCTCTTCTAATTAATTTTAAAGAGAATGGTCAGGCCAGCGTGAGTAATAGAACATCAACTGGCTATCAAGCATCCTTTTCTTTCAGTCTCCTCCAGAAAGTAGTTCACATCTGGGGCAACCCCCATGTCCAGAGCTCAGGAACCCACAATCTGAGGAGACTTTGCTTGAGAATGGAAGAGGTATTGGGGTGGGAACCTGGAGGGGACAACAGTACACGTCTGTCTCCCTCATGGCTTATGTTTGCAGAACCTGATAAAGGCCACCAAAGGCTACATAATCCACATTGGGCCCATCTCTCCTGATTCTACACTCTTTCTTCCACATCGGTCCAATGTCATGCTGGACTTCCAAGCTCCAGAAATTCTTTTTTTCTTTCCCTTAGCAGCCTGTTTGTTTATGTAACCATAGCTTCCATACACCCAAGGCGGACAAGAGGTCTGATTTCAGCTTTTTCACCTAGTGCAGGCTCTAGAGCCGAAAAGTCTGAGTTTGAATTCTGGTCCCAAAATGTTCTGATTGTATAGCCTTGGCCAAGTTATGTAACCTTAATTGCCTGAGTTTCCTCAGCTGTCAAGTTGGGATAATAACAGTATCTACTCCCCAGCGTTTTTGTAAAAGCTGTTTGTAGTAATCCATGCAAAATGTTAGGGCAGTGGCTGGCACCCAGTAAAGTTTTCAATAAATGGGAGGTGATATTATTATTACCATACCCATTATTGCTGATATATGACCTAGTGTGAGCTACTTACCCTCCTTGAACCTCAGTTTCCCCTGTGTAAAGTGAAGATAGCGATAACCTGGTTTGGAGGGTTGATTCAAATGAGACATATAAAAAGGTCCTGAAATAGTCTAGACATTCACTCAACGCTCCTCTCATCATTACTATTATGCAGTTCTAAATGACACACGACTTCCATCACAATTCCAGCTAATAAACATAAGAGGCAAGAGGAAGCAGTGGTTATGAGCGTGGTCTCCCTATTGATTCTCACTGGTGGTTCACTAATTGGCTGCACGGTCTTGAGCAACAGCTCACCCTTTCTAAGCTTCATGCCCAGTAAAACAGCATCTTCAAAATGGAACATTGCAAAGAGTAGATGAAGTCCTGCATGTACAACAGTCATAGGGGCCCTGACATATCGTCAAGTATCAGATAGATAATTTTTTTGTTGTTAGAAACCAGCCTTCCATCTTCTGACTTATTTTATTTCTGTCAGTAGAAGTGCTATTCTGCAAGGCTTTCAGAATGAAACTTTGGAGTGGCCTTTGACTCTTTCCTTTTTCTTTTTGAGTCGGAGTCTCACTTTGTTACCCAAGCTGGAGGGCAGTGGCAGAATCATGGCAATTGCAGCCACCACCTGCTGGGCCCAGGCAATCCTTCTGCCTCAAGTAGCTGGGACTACAGGCACACGCCACCATGCCTGGTTTTTTTTGTTTTTTGTTTTTTTGTTTTAATGTAAAGACGAGATCTCACCATGTTCTCGACATGGTCTCAAACTCTTGGCTATTACGCCTGGCTTTTCCTCTGGTTTTTTTTTTTTTTTTTTTTTATCTCTAATAAGCAGCCAGTCATTAAATCCTAGAGATTGTTCCTTCTAAACACTAATCCCCTTCCTGATGCTTCTGTTTCCCTTGATTCTAGTCCCCTGACTCTGATTTATCCCATGTTCCAGTTCCTCATCTCTGTTTTAAAAACAGGTTTGTCAGTGTGTCACTCTCCTCACAGAAACCATCAGTAGCTAATTGTAGACTAGAGAAAACAGCTCAGACTCTTTTAAATGCCACGCCAAGACACCTCACCAGTTGCCTCCATCCAACCTGTGTCTCCTCATCCTCCATTTCTCATCAGCTGGAGCCCTCTGGTCCTCTCAGGCACATCTGTCAGGTGCCACATCAGTCCCACCTCTACACCTTAAGGAATGCTGATCTTCCCTCCTGAATCACCTACTACTCAGCGTTTGCCCAAAGCCTACCTATCTTTTAGGTCAAGCCAAAGTCCAATTGCACATATAAATGCTTTTCAAGTTATTTTCCAGAATCACAAGGTTGGCCAAGAATCTATTGGACTATTCTAGACACAATGGTCCATCCCTGTTGGAATTTGTATAGTGTGATAACTCAGATTTGGCTCTAGCCCTCCCTTTCTATCCAGTTCTTAATGTAGAACACATCCTTCCAAGCTTGTCACTCATGGAGGACACGGACTTTGTTTTTCTTAGTCCCTAACTCTTCTTAGATGCCCTCAGTAGAATCAAGCCCCTTAGCAGCTGCTCAGTGAGTGTCTGGACCAATCCCCATGGAAAAAGACGCCAACATTTTGCCTTGTCTTTACCTAGGCTCTATCTCTCCCCTCTTGCATACTCCTTTCTTCTTTTTTTCCCTAAGGTCTTTGGCTCTTGGCCTTCTGCTCTGCCTTTTCTCTGTGGCCCCCCTAAACCCTCACACTTGACACTGGGCTTTTGGCTTTCTTCCTCAACTCTGACTTATGATTTCCCTTTCTGACGTTCTACAACTAGCTTCTTCCCTTGGTTCAGATTCTCTGGAAACTCTACCCATTCTCCCAACTCCCTAGCAAAAGAGAGGGAATCTAAGGACACAATTGCCCAGATATGGCAAACATGTCATTTCTGCACCGCTTGTAGTTTCCCTTCCATAAAGTAGCTGTGGATGCTTGTTTAAACCCACAGTGATCTCTGACTTGGCCTACCCTGTGAGTTAGTGATTGAACAAGCTTGAAAAGCAGGCAGAGCACATACAGTTTATCACCCCCAGTCAATCCTCTCTTATTCTTGACCCTGGATCTTTAGTTCTTCCTCTTGAATCAAGTCAGGCCTATCCTGATGCCTCCTGTCCACAACTTTCCCTAGGTGGCATTTTAAGGCTGTTGATATCCTAGGATCAAATATGTCAGTGGCACTACAACTGACCTTGGACAATAAAAGAGCTGGTCCCCTCTGCCATTGGAACCAACTCATGCCTCCAGGGATGCTCAGAACCAAGATGGTCTCAGCGGTGTTATATGAAACTTGAATCAGAACATCTAGCCATTTATTAGTCTGGAGGTTGTCCATTCTCAGAAACATTCTGCAGACACTGACTGCTCTTAACACCTCCCAGCTTTCCACACACAAAGGATATCAGTGCTGTTATAACAGCATACGCAGACCCCATTGCAAATGAGCCAGCGAAGATCCCCAGGAAATTCCCCACAGACTGGAAGAATGCTGCAGCGTCAAATGCATTCGGATTCTCCTTGGGGCTGTAAATGGATATAGAACTGAAAAGAGAAGAGGGTGGAGGTTAGTTAGTGACTGTCATCTTATAACTCAGATAGGATTTTGCACTCACTTTTGGGAGAGGCATCGTTTCCTGGAAGGTTGAGTTCTGCCTGGAAGAATTGGTGGGGGGGAAACAGATAAAAAGGGGGAGAGATGGAGAATGCAGAAAGCTGTCCCCTTTCTTACAGGCTTATCCCATGGGACCCATATATTGCTGCCAGTCAGTAAACATTTTTATATTGGAAGGGTCGTAAAGAATATTGTTTCTGAGCAAACTAGGCATTAAAACATGGTAGGTGTATAAGGAATCTGCTGAGAAGATAGATAACTGTGAATTATTTAGTGGCCATATGTCTTCAGTGGTGTTATATATTCACAAATGTTCCTGATAAAAAAGTGCACTTTTATGGCCTGTACACAAATGGGTGACACAAATCACAGCGTGCACAAAATATTCCGCCGTGATCTTGTCATAAACCACAAAGCATTCGTCCTCTCCAGTGTAGCCCTTCAGAAACACGACACTGATGATGTTCAGAACATCACAGTATTAACCCCTGGGGAGAGACAAAACCCTCACTTTCCCACCTAAACAAATGGCAGCAGCTGCCCGAGGTCATCTTTTATACCCCAATTCTGGCTGCTGCCAACAGATTTATTTCCATAGAGAAAAATCAATCCACCAATAGGCAGTCTGTTCACTTAAATATTTTTGAGGACGTCATATGTGCTATTTTTCTTTTTTTTTTTAGCCAGAGCCTCGAATCCCAGAGTGTGAATATGAAGGACAAGGCATGTCCTATTTTAGGAAATTTGAGTTCCATATTGTAGCATCGAAAGGAACATATGTGCTCAAACTGATACAGAGACCATAACAAAACCAGTAGCTTTAGGGAGGCTAATGAAGTAATGTCTCCAATTTTTTTTTTTCTTCCTGACAGTTTTTGTTTTAACACAGGGTTTTTAATACCTATCAGGAAAAATCAGGAGTTTAACAGTGGGTTTTGGAAGAGACTTCGTAGCAGTGTAGAGAGCAAAAAGTACGCTAGACACACCGAGTGAGATTAGGTTGGATTTTACAGAGATGTAGCTGAATCTTTTATGGCGCCGATGATTAGAGCGTGTTAACTCTCTGACCTGACTCTTTGTACCCAGAGACTAGTTAAGAGAGAGCCAGGGCAGCCGATTCCAATTCTCCTGCAGGAAGATGTGTGGCATAAAAAAAGGTAGTTTTAAATGTTCTTAGTTTTTCCCTCGATGTCTTTAAACCCCCAAAGTAGGCCAAACACTTCTGCTTTGATTCTGTAATTGGATAAGGAAGATGAATGTGAGTCTTGAATGCAACCCTGAAATATATGCGAGAAAAGGACTGCCTTTGAAGTGCTTTTCTTTTTATAAAGTGTTGTGCTTTGCAGAGAAAAAGGAAAAGCAAACCCACATTCAAGCCCTTTGTATCTGCCCACCCTGGGAAAAGATGTAAAACCCCTTGGTTATTAGGAAACCTGGTACCCAAGGCTGTGATGCTTGGATGGATGGACATTTACCTGCATGTTTCTTCCCCCAATGAAGCAACAATAGTGAGGAGAAAACATTCCATTTGTATCTGCCTTTGCTTAACATAGTTTTGGAAATCTGTTCATTCCTGAGGCTGCTACCAGTAGACCTGATCCATAGAAAAGGCGGGGTTTCACCCTTATCTCCACCTCCACACCCTCCAGAAGAGTTTTCCTGTCCTGGTGCTTCTGGAACTTGGAGCATCATTGTCAAATCATTTGGCCACACCCTGTACCATTATTTATGTATGTTTTTCTTTATATCATTTTTATTCAAATTCAAGGGCTCCTATTAAAATATATCTATGAAATTGTAAGTTTGATGTGATAATTATATTTCTTTTTTAATATTAGTGAGAATACGTAATTTGAAAAAAAATAATTCCCTTGTGTCATCTAAAATCACCTGGGTATTCCTGGTAATTTGCAGTATGCACTGTGGGACATATTTTCTTCCCACCCACTTGACAGGGTACAGCTACTTTGTTTGCCAAACTTCATACTTTTCCTGAAGGGAAACCTATGAACTGGCCATTAAATGTGCAGTCTCAGGACATAGGCACTGGGAGCCTGCCATGTGCCAGCTGGGGCATTAGGTACAGAGTGTTGGAAGCAGACAGCGGAGAGCACAGAGAAGGGAAGGAGAATTTGATTCAATAGACATTTAATTGAATACCTGATATATGCAAGGCATACCTAGGCAAAGGAGCCTAAGGTACAGATGACCAATAGCTCTAGTATCGAGGCTGAGTGTGATTTTGTGAGAAGTACATACCATTTAATGTTACAAAAGAAAAAAGGGGCACTATTTTAGAATAAAAGATGGTATTTGGGCAAGTTAGCACATCAGTGCACAATGATGGGGAGAGGGTATTCCAGGCAGTCAAAGAGTATAAGGAAAGGCAAGGAGGCTGGTGTGTTCAGGGCAATGCTATGTGGTTATGGCTGGAGCCCAGGAAGCATGCATGTGGGCACATGTAGAGGAGCAGAGAGGGGTGAGACGGCATCACTCAGAGTCTTAAATTCCATGTGGAACATAGACAAAAGCCCTCACATTTGCATCATATGTAGTCCTCTTATGCCTACATTATAATTTTATTTGATCTTATAATATTACTGCAAAGTAAATAGAGCAGGTTTTGTTATGTCTTTTCCCCTCTTTTCCTTCGTCTTCCCTCCCTCCCTCCCTCTCTTCCTCTGTTTCCTTTCTTTCTATAAAATAAAGAAACTAAGAATCTGATACATTAAGATCGCATAACTACTAAGCTCAAAATGTAGTTTTCTTGTTTCTTCCTTTAAAAAGTGATCTTATTGAGGGGAAATCATCAACCCACATCAGATGACTGAGTGAGAGTGTCACATTGACCATAAGAACAACAGTTCTGAGCCTCTAATTTCATGCCTGGGATGGACATGGGCAGTGCCTTCCTGAACATAAGTCTAATAGTGGGCTGTGTTGAACGGGGCAGCTGCACCCTCTCTCCTGTCCCACCAGCAGGCAAGACTCAGCACTTCTCATGGAAACCTACTTCTACACTTGGCTTTGCCAGGCCTGGCTTGAATCTTACCCCATCTTCGTATGCCCAGGACACAGCCTGGATCGTGGCCCATGGTAGGCTATATAAAGCCTGATCGAATGAAGAAAGGACAACCGGAAAGTAGAAAGGAAGAAAAGCAGGAAGGAGATCTACCAAAGTTAGTGGTCTCTCAAAATGAACCATCATCCACAAGATTTCTTTTTTTTTTTTTTCTTGCAGCAGAAGCAAGACTTTAATGGCAGTCTTGCAAGATCGGGTGTCTCGTGGGCAACACAAGATTTTTTATTAGGCATTGACTATGTGTAGCCATGTTGTGGACACTTTTAGGATTATCAATCCAGTCTTGAAACTGACACTTGAGCCTCTTCACTGGAGCCTAATATTTGACACTTATTGGATATATGACTTTGGGCAAGTTACTTCATCACTCTCAGACTCAGTTACATTGTCTGTAAAATGGAGATAGTAATAGTGCTTATCTTTCAGAAACGTTGTGACAATATGAGATAAATTTAAAACTCACAGATGTATCTTGTGCATTACAGAGTCATTCTCGGAGTGCTTATTATGAACACTAAAAATAAACACTCACTGAAGGTTATTTATCATCATTATCATCATCATTCTATGATCAGAGCATTTACAAATCTCACGACAGATAGCAGAGTACTCTGACGAAATCAGGCCTTAGTTCCAAACATGGGCAGATGGGATGTGGCGGCACTCACGGCATTCCAAGTTTTGAGGCTGCTGGAGAGTAACTAGTCACTTTTGCATGGGAACAGCAGGGTGTCCAGGAAGGAGAGGCACCAGGAAGCACCCCAGGGAAATGGCCATAAGAGTGAGACTAAAAGTTTGTCACGTTTATCATGAAATTCTTGGCTCAGTGGATCCAAGGTGGAGAAAGTGCCCTCAGCAGCACGGGCACAAGTCTTCCCAGGGACAAGAATAGGCCAGGAGAGTCAGCTTGAATTGTATTTTCCCAAATTGAGTGGGAGATGTTCTGTAGGCAAAGCCCTTTGGCTTCTAGTAAGGAATGAGGCAAAAGAGGCAGAAGCCTCATGGCCCAGGGAAGTTGCATCTTTCTGGATGGTGAGGATTTTAGGAAGTTTTTCTTGCAGGCTCTAGACTCTGACAAGAGACAGGTCTCTGGACTGTGGATTTAGAAGCAATTGTTGTGAGAAGTAGAAGGAAAGGGAGGATGGAAAAAGTCAAGGGTCTGGGTCACACATAAGGAGTTTTTCCAACTTCTACCCAAGGGAGGAATATCATTGTTGCTGCAATTTTAGCACATTGGACTTATGCCCTGTGCCAAGGGAGGTACTGGAACTATTAGTGACTGAAAATACTGGAGGCAGGGGGGAGGGAGGGAATTGGGTTTTCTGTTCACCTGTGTGATGGCTATCCTTTGGAATAGTACTCTGAAAAAGATACTGTCTATAGCACAAACTGCTGAAGATGAATCCACAGTCCTCAGATATCTGGGAAAAGGTTGGATGAAACCAATATCCTTAAAATGACATGACCAGAAACATACAGTGGTGTTTAAATATTCATCTCATAAATTGGAAGTAAGTCCAGGATATTGATTCAGTCTGTTCAAGAACAGCCTATTCAGCAAAAATTAGTCTGATGATAGTGTATTGCATCCATACTCAGAAATAAATGTGTGCGGCATCTTTTATTCAAACATTTCAAAATGGTTGAAGCATCCTAAATTCCTTTTATGAAAGTAACATGAATAAGAATACTTTTGCTTACTGTACCATTTAAGATTCACAGACATGATTGAGACACCAGTGTTTCTCTACAACCCATCTTTTCTTCTGCATGATGCTCCTGCAAGGAACAAGCCTCATGGTTTAGGTAGTATTCAGAGCATAGCATCTGAATCTGTGATCTGAGTAT